CTCAGTTTCTTCCGTGCTCTCCTTCTCTCACTCTCCGTCTCTACCTCTCTTTTCTTTTGGGCACCGAACGAAATGAGTTAGACGCGTGGGTAACCAGCTGTTACATGGAGGAGTGAATCAGGTGGCTAATAGAGAAGGTAGCACGTGTATTACAAAGTTCCAGGACCAATCTTGACCTCACACATAATTTTTTCTCCAATCCTATCATTTCTCCAATTTTTCTGAAATATAAGATATATCCAGAGAAAATAAACCATTCTTCTCTTAAAATTATCTATTAAAATTATTTAAGCCATTTTTGGGGAAATACCTTTTCCAAAATGTCTCTAAACCCTAAAAATCATTATTCCATAATTTTCCCCCTTTATTTGGCAAATAAATAATTTTAATAAATTTTTCTCTTTTCTACTCATCCTAAATCATAAAATTCGGGGTGTTACAATTCTCCCCCCGTAAATAAAATTTCGTCCTCGAAATTTAGATAATTACCTTGTGGCATAAAGTCTGGATATGACCTTTGCATTTCTTCTTCTCCTCCCATGTAGCTTCTCGTGGTGAGAATCCCTTCTAGACCACTTTCACGAATGGAATACTTTTACTTCTCAATCTTCTCTCTTGTTTGTCAATGATTCGTTGAGGTTGCACATCATAAGTCAAATCATCTTGTAGATCTATTTCTTCATGTTCAATGACATGCTCTGGGTCTGGTTGATACTTTTTCAGTTGAGACACATGAAAAACATTGTGTAACTTGCTCAACTGTGGAGGTAGAGCTATTTGATATGCCATTGGACCTACTTTTGCAAGAATCTCAAATGGTCCTACGTATTTTGGGCTTAATTTTCTCATTTTCATCGATCTTCCAATGCCTGTAGTTGGTGCCACTCTTAAGAAAACATGGTCTCCAACCTCAAATTCTAGCGGTCTCCTTCTCTTGTCCGCATAACTTTTCTGTCTGCTCTGAGCCGCCAGAAGTCTCTTTCGAATGAGTTTTATCTGTTTAGAAGTTTGGTCAACCAAATCTGGACCATATAGCTTTCTTTCACATAATTCAGTCCAACATAGTGGAGATCTACATCTTCTACCATACAATGCTTCATATGGAGCCATTTGAATACTTGTATGGTAGCTATTGTTATAAGCAAATTCAGCATATGGAAGGATGGAATCCCAGCTTTTCTTAAAATCCAAGACACATGCTCTCAACATATCTTCTAGTGTCTGGATAGTTCTTTCCGTTTGCCCATCAGTTTGTGGGTGATAAGCAGTACTGAATCTTAATTGAGTGCCTAAGGCTTTATGCAAAGATCGCCAAAAATTTGAAGTAAACCGAGGATCTCTATCTGATATAACACTCTTAGGCACACCATGTAGTCTAACTATTTCTTTTATGTACACCTGCGCTAATTTATCTAAGGTGTAGCTAGCTTTGATAGCTAGAAAATGTGCTGATTTTGTCAAACGATCAACGATCACCCAAATTGCATCATACCCAGTTGAAGTCTTGGGTAAACCCGTCACGAAGTCCATTGATACACTTTCCCATTTCCATTCTGGAACCTCTAATGGTTGCAAAGGTCCTGGAGGCTTCTGATGCTCAACTTTAATCTTCTGACATGTTAAGCACCGTGTTACATATTTGGTAACATCACTCTTTAACCCTGGTCACCAATACAGAGACTTTAAACTCTGATACATCTTTACCATACCTAGGTGAAAGAGCTAACTTACTTTTATGAGCCTCATCAAGAATTCTTCTTCGTAACTCTGCTTTTAATGGTACATAAACCCTTTGTTTATATCGGATCAAGCCACCAGGAGAGAAATCATGATCTTGAGTTTCTCCGTTCTCAATTTTTACTTTTAATTCTCTAGCCAGACTATCATCTTCTTGAGCTTGTTTTATTTCTTCCCATAAGTCATTCTCAATTCTTGATACTGTATAGCTTCCAACTATGATTTCTTTGGTCAGAGTTAGATCTCTGAACTTTTCTAGCAGCTCATGTTCTTGTACCAACATTGCCGCCACTTGAACTGTTTTTCTGCTCAACACATCTGCAACTACATTCGCCTTGCTAGGATGGTATTTAAATTCAAAATTATAATCTTTCAAGAGTTCCATCCACCTTCTTTGCCTCATATTCAGCTCTTTTTTATCTTGAAGAAATCACACTGCATGGACCATTTAAAATAGATGATTGCATGTGTGAGTTACAACAGTTTGTGAGGGGGCATGTTATATGAAACATGCAATGCTATAACTTGAGACTACTGTTTTATAACCTGTGTGAATTTGTTATAATTTGTTTTAGGTTCAAGTGTGTGAATCACTCGTTAGTATATATATATATATAAAAAAAATTTCCCTGTCTTTTCCCAGGATGGAAACCTGGTGTTAGTGATTCACAGGCGTTAAAATGATCCTATTAGTATATAAAAGTGAGGTGTTGCAACCTGCAACCAAAATTCAAGAATAAGGTAGCATTAATTGTCCTTAAAAATCAGTCAATCACAATTATGACAATTTTACCCTTATTACGTACTAATTCAAGTTAAAGCACTCTATTATAAATTATACTCAAATAATACAATTAAGAACCAATAATAATGACTAAAACCCACCAAAAATATATTAAAATGCATGTAAAAACATAGGTTTGTCAACTTCCCCATACTTAGCCTTTTGCACTCATAAGTAAAACATCATTAAAGAAGAATCCAACAGAGACACTCAATGCAAGCAAGCATAAAATCGACTAAGCATGAATGTGCAATTAACTCAAGGAACCTTTATTCCTAATGAATCAACAATCATAGAATACTTTAGTGCAAAGAAATTAACACAAGAAACATAGCTGGATAAAGTAAGAGAAATATAATAGAGCTCACATAGGGTACAAGTGTTTCACTCATCTCTTAAATGGAAAAAATTTCACTCAATCCACTAAGATTAGCACCTACATAAGCTTGTAGAAATTCTAATGTCTCCACCACTAACATACCTTAGACTCATGATCAAGAGGACTTGAAGGGTTGTAATGTTAGAAAGTGAGGTCAAATGAATGAAATGAACTAACAAGTGAAATGCATGAGTAATAAAGTATCAACTCAAAGTGAGCTAAAGTACAATTATGAAAGAACACCAACGTGCAGATCTTAAACTTTCGGAATAGAAATCCTTGCTTTTCAAACCACCATGGAATGTCTTATTTCAAATTTTATTCTTTTGTTGCAACTTATTTTCTTTTTCTATACATTTTCTTCTCTTTATTGCCTTTTTTTTATTTCTTTTTCTTCTTTTGTATTCTTTTTTTCGCCCTCTTTTTTTCCTCTTTTTTTATTCGCATCCAAACCCAAGAAGGCAAAGATATAGACTTTAATGATGTACTTTTAAAAATGAAAAATCAAATGTAACTCATGCAAAACACTTGCTAAAAAGCAATTAGTGAAATGAAAGTGAAAGCTCAAAGGGCTGAACAAATGTTAAATGAAATAGCTTGTATTTAGGTAAAGGGTTTAGAAATTAATGCCCCCATCATCTTCACAAACCTAGGTATTAATATAGCTTTGAAAAGGAATCTAGATGAGTTTTAGAGGTTAACTAAAACTAGGTGAAAATCACACAAGATAAGAAAGAATACAAGGCTAAAAAATCCTTCCATCAAGGCTTTCTCTAAGATGTTTCCTCCTTAAGGATCAAGCTATGAAACAAGGTTAATAACACTGTACCAAAGGCATTCTACTATGCTAACCAACTAAGAACAGAAATCACTCAAATCAAATGCAATCAAACTCAGCCGTGCAATGTTCACAACTATTGTGCAAAGGGATTTTAAAAGGAATGCCCAATGATTACAAAAGTCAAGTCAACAACAGAGAAAATAGCAACTCGCCCATACAGCAGTGTAGAACATTGAGGCAAATGAAAACATGAGGACACAAAAACCATCAATAAGATTCCCAAGCAAGAATCACTCTCAAATCATGCTATGTAACTTAGAAATCAACCAATAAGCCAAAGAAGAGAGCAATTATAGCAGCAATACTTAGAAAACAGGAGCAAATCTAAAGGCAAAGTTTTTTTTTTAAAGATCAGTTCAACAACTCAACAACAATCCCTCCCCCACACTTGATCAATACATTGTCCTTAATGTAAGAAAAACAACATTATCTTAACCTAAACTTTTAGGTGAAGTAGAAGTTGTGAAGTCCGATTTGAAATCCAAGCACAACACGTCATTATCACAAAGAAGAGAGAAGGGAGAGATAGGATAAGATAATGTGAAATGAAAATGGACAACTATAAATTAAGTGATCAAAAGAGATGGCAGAATCAAGAGGAAACAAAAACAAACAACTACTAAACAGAAATAAACAGCTACAACTACAACTATCGGAGAAGCTCCCTCCCCTATACTTACTCCTAACTATCTCAGCAAACAGTTATTACCAACAATACAATAGAAAGTAAAAGAGTAGGGTGGAAGGGAACAACTGTGTGATCAGGGGGCTCTTTACTCCTCATGGTAGTGCTTCAGTAGATGGCCGTTGACTTGTGAAGTTATACCAGTTTCCTCATCTGTGAGCTATACTATGCCAAAAGGATATACTTTAATAACTCTAAACAGACCTTCCCACTTGGTGAGAAAGTTCCCAGGTATTAGCTTCAACCAGGCTTTAAACTTTAGAACCTTGTCACCTTCATGAAACTACTTCCTCAAAATTCGTTTGTTATGAATCATTTTTAGCTTGTCTTTGTAGATTCTAGCATTATCATAGGATTCAAGTCTTATTTCTTTAAGTTCTTGGAGTTGGGTCTTCTGAATGACAAGTAAAGATTCGAGATCTGTACCACATGCCTTGATTGCCTAATAAGATTTGTGCTCGATCTCCATAGGCAGATAGCAAGCCTTGCCATAGAGCAACCGGAAGGGAGACATGCCTATAGGGGTCTTGTAAGCAGTCATGCAAACCCAAAGAGCTTCCTCAAGCCTTTTACTCTAATCCTTATAGGATGGTTTCACGATCTTCTCAAGTATTCGCTTTACTTCCCGGTTAGAGACTTCAGCTAACCCATTCTTTTGAGGGTGATAAGGGGTGGCCAACTTGTGATTGACTCCATGTTTAGCCAATAGAGACTTGATGGTCCTATTGCAGAAGTGTGTTTCTTGGTCACTGATGATTGCTCTTAGAATGCCATACCTGTAAAGATATGCGAACGTAAAAACTCGACAACAGTAGAAGCATCATCTTTCCGAGTTAGCACTGCCTCTACCCATCGAGACACATAATCTATTGTAAGTAATATGTATGAAAACCCAAAAAACAAAGGGAATGGGCCTATAAAGTCCATGCCCCACACATCAAAGATTTCACAAAAATACATAGGTCTTAGAGGCATCTTATGCTTCCTACCCAAACTCCCCAAACCTCTAACACTTATCACAAGACTTGTAGAAAGAATAAGCATCCTTAAATAGAAAAGGCCAATAAAAACCACACTCTAAAACCCTTCTAGTAGTCCTATTAGCACTAAAATGCCCCCCGCAAGATGAAGAATGTGCAAAGGTAAAGATAAAGTGGATCTCATTGTTTAGAACACAGTGTTTGATGATCTAATCATTGCATTACTTCCATAGGATTAGAGAATCCTAGATATAGTATCTCACCTCCCTCCTCAGCTTATCAGTATGAAATTTAGACATAGGAGATACAAGGTTAGTGATAAGATAATTAACTATATTAAAGTATCAAGACTCATGAACAGCCAAGGCAAAAAGTGCAGAATCAGGAAATGAGTTAATAACAAGATCAAAAGAATCAACTCCCTGTGTGCCTTCAGGTAACTAGCTAAGGTGGTCAGCTACATGATTCTCTGCTCCAGCTCTATCCCTGATCTCGATATCGAACTCCTGTAGCAGCAAAGCCTATCTCAGCAGTTTAGGTTTAGATTGAGGCTTCTTCAATAGGTACTAAACTGCTGCATGATCTGTAAAAACAACCGCTCAAGAGTTTATCAGATACTGTCTAAAATTGTCCAAAGCAAAAATAATAGCAAATAATTCTTTCTCTGTAGTGGTATAATTGACTTGAGCAAAATCAAGCGTCTTGGAGGCATATGCTATGAATCTAGACTGTTTCTCCTCTTTCTGTCCAAGCATGGCACCTACTACAAAGTTAAAAGCATCACAAGATAATTCAAAATGTAAATTCTAGCTAGGTGCAGTGAGAATAGGAGATGAAACAAGCATAGATTTCAAAGTGTCAAAAGCATGTCTATACTAATCATCAAATTTAAATTCAGCATCTTTTTTCAACAAGGTAGAAAGAAGCAATGCAACTTTACTAAAATCCTTAATAAAGCGTCGATAGAAACTTGTATGCCCTAAGAAAGACCTCAAATCCTTTAAACAAGTGGGATAAAGAAGGGATGAAACAACTTTAATTTTGGCCCTATCGACCTCAATCCCCTTTAGGAGATGAGATGACCTAAGACTATCCCTCTATTAACCATGAAATGACACTTTTCAAAGTTCAAAACAATTTCTTATCGATAACCCTCTCAAGAGCCTACTCTAGGCTGTTCAAGCACTCATCAAAACTCTTACCATAAACAGTGAAGTCATCTATAAAAACTTCCATATTCTGTTTTTGAAGATCACTAAATATCACCATCATACACCTTTGAAAAGTGCCTGGAGCATTACACAACCCAAATAGCATCCTTCAATAAGCAAAGGTACTGAAAGGGCATGTAAAAGTAGTCTTGTCCTGATCTTCAGGAGTAATAGGCACTTGAAAATAGCCAGAAAGCCTGTCCAGAAAACAATAGTGAGACTTTTATAAAATTCTCTCCAACATCTAATCTATAAAAGGTAATTAAAAGTGGTCCTTTCTCATGGCATCATTCAACTTCCTATAATGTATACACACCCTCCAAGCATTTTGAACCCTAGTTGGAATCAGTTCATCATTTTCATTTCTTACTTCTGTGATACCGCTCTTCTTTGGTACTACTTGTATCGGACTTACCAACTCACTATCTGATATGGGATAGATGATCCCAGCACTCAATAGTTTAGAGACTTCCTTCTTAACCACATCCAGAATGAGAGGATTCAATCTCCTCTATGGTTGCCTAATTGGCTTAGACCCTTCATTTAAAAGGATCCTGTGTATGCAAACTGGGAGATTAATCCCAAGAATGTCCCCTTAAGACCACCCTATAGCCCTTTTATGACTCTTCAGCACAAAAATCAATCTTTCTTCTTCAGAACTACTCAAAGAACTGGAAATAATAACAGGCAACTTAGAATCAACAGCAGGAAAGACATATTTCAAATTAAGGGGAGGGGTTTCGTTCTAAATTAGGAGGTTGCACAATAGAAGGAACTAATTCTTTGATGTCAAGTGCATTTAAAGCAAGTGGTGTGTTCATATGGCTTGGGGAAGGAGATATGAGCTCATCATTATATGTATGTCCTCCACTTCCCAACTCAGTGCCATTCTTGGATAACCTACAAAGAAGATGATCGGTATCAATTTTATCAACAGAAATATTAAGTAAATCACAAGGAAGAGTGGGATTAGAAGTGACTAAATTAGCGGCAGGCTTGTTGCTAGCCTCTTCTAATGTTCTAGCACCACTCAAAGGAGAAGCTACCAGTGTAGCTTGTGTAACAACTCCGTTATCAAAAGTACCTGCAAAATCAACAAACTTACCTTTATCAAGGTTATCATTAAGTGTAATGCTTAAAGTAGGATCACCATTAAGACAAGATGATGCATCAAAATTATGAGAGATGGAAAGGGGTGATCAACTTCTAAATAGTTAACACACACCACGTCACCATAACATGAGCAAAAAGAAGAAGAATGAGGGGTAGATACATAAGTAAACGCATCATCATGCTCAACAATCTCATTATACCAGTTATGCTTATGCATCTCAGATTCATGGAAATCATCAACATCATTAACAGCACAATCAATCAAATTAACACCCAAGTAAGAGCAATCTGCATAACCTTGACTCATCATAGAAATGTTGAAGGTAATCTGTTGGTCCTCAAAGCCCATGGTGATGACCCCATCTTTCACATTAATTATGGTTTGGGCTATTCTAAGGAAAGGTCTTCCTAGAATCAAAGTGCTATCGGCTTTAATCTCATCAGTCATGTCTAGCACATAGAAGTCAGCTAGGAATACAAGATCCTTCACTTGCATAAGAACGTCCTCAAGAAAGTCCTTAGGGTGTCTCATAGTCCTATTAGCTAACCTAGCACAACACTGGTATCTTTTAAGGCATAAATACCTAAACTCTTATAGATAGAGGTAGGCATAACATTTATGGATGTACCTATGTCTAGTAAGGCATGTGAAATGTTTGTTTTGCCTATGGTACAAGGAATAGTTTAAGAACTTGGGTCTTTATACTTAATAGGTAGCTGTGGCTTGAAAATAGCACTAACACTAGACTCTTGTTGGATTCTCCCACTATGCCTATACTTCCTCTTGTTTGTAGATAGGTCTTTTAGAAACTTAGCACACTTAGGCATCTTCTTAATCAAATCAAATAATGACACATTAACCTCAAGTTCGCTAAACATTTCAAAAAGCTCATCATTATCTTTCTTTTCAACAACTTTCTTACTCATGAGATAAGAATAAGGAAAAGGCAAGTTAGATATGTTTACCTTATCACCTTTGGAAGGTGATCATTTCTCTATTAACCCTTTGGATTAAATGGAGGTCTCTTGAGTAGCTTTGGGAATGTCTTGAGTGGTTTTAGAAGAACAAGACTCAACTTTTATCTCTTCGTTAACCGGTTCTTCATCCTCTTCATACTACTTCTTATTGTAATCACATTCAAAGATTTAGGATTTATCATCATGTTGGAAGACATTGAACCACTAGCCTTAGCTTGCTATTCACTTATACCATTTGACAGCTTAGTGATGTAAGAATTCAAGTTAGAGATTTTGGTTTCCTATTGGTCCATCCTACTCTCTAGGGCTATAAATCTCGCTTTAGATTTAGCTTCAGACTCAGATATGTGCTCAGTCATTACCTTAATGCCCTTAAGAATTCAAGAGAACCGGTCATCATCCTTAGACTGCGGTTGCTGTGTAATAGACATAGCTCTAGAGGATTCTCTTTGTAACCCTCCCTAGTAAGATTGCCCTTGAGGAACCTGCCTATTGTCACCTCCTTCCCATTAAAAATTTGGATGAGCTTTCTACCCTTCATTATATGCATTTGGGTATGGGTTCTATTGCTTAGATTGATTAACCCTTCCTTGATACATGGTGGAAACTTCCTTATATCTATGAGGGCAAGCAGCATAGATGTGCATAACAAAGTTATAACGCTCATAACTAGGTACAGTCGTCTCTATGGAATTAGGATTTTGAGTGTCAACAGGGGAAGTGTGAGATGCAAGCTTATTCAACTGCATAGTCAAAGCAGCAATTTGAGAAGTAATGAGTCCAATTAAGGAATGTGGACTGAAGAAGAATTAGCATGCATTGCATTAACATGTTTAGACTCCCTGATGCTATATTGTTGATGGTTTAAGGCCATTTTCTTGATAAGTTCCCATGCCTCATCAGTAGTTGAATCAATGAGAGAACCCCCAAAAGTAGCATCCAACATCCCCTTATCTTGGGTCTTAAGTCCATCATAAAAATATTGGACTAATTGTTCATCTAGAATCTGATAGTGTGAACATCTAGAAAGCAAGTCTTGAAAACGGTTCCAGTAGTTATAAAGTGACTCCTTATAGTCTTGCTTTACAGAGTAGATTTCTTTTCTTAATGTAGAAGTCCAGAAAGCAGGGAAATGCTTCTCCAAGAATGCTTTTTTGAGGTTGTTCCAGTTATGGTAGGCATCTGCCATATGCCTAGGCAAGCTCATGTACCATTCTCACGCTTTGCCCTCTAGAGACAAATGGAATACCTTTCAAAGAACCTCATCTAGACTAGCTCCGACCGGCTTCATACTAGAACATACCATAGAGAGAGATTTTAGATGATTGTACAGGTCCTCACCTGTCAAACCATAAAATTTAGGCAAAGAATTAAGCAGTGGACCTCTAATCTCAAAATTGACATCAATATTAAGGCATGCAGCATTAAAAGGATCATAATTTTCATCAGAAGTGATAACTTCCCTAATGGTTCTTCTTCTAGGGTTACCTCCATTATTCTTACCTACTCTATCATGTTCAACATTATGCCCATTGCCCCCTCTACAATTACCACCATTGGGATCGTTATTAGTTTTTATTATGTTACCTAAGTCAGCCACCAAATCTAGACCAGCTAAATTGCCTAGTTCAACCTCAGGATCACTAGACACAATATATTCACTAGAAGACAAGTTAGACTCGTGTGAAAGATTTTCCTCTTCAACTATAATCTCACTAGTCCTTTCTACCCTTTGGTCTTGCCTAGCTTCCCTTAAAGAATTTTGAAGCTCAAGATTGGAAGGAACTAGGGTTTTAGACCTACCCCTCCTTGGCATAAACAATCAACCAATTAGAAGAAAAGTGCAAAATTGACTTGCACAACAAGATTCGAGCAAAAACAGGATGAATGCAATGAAATGCAAGTGTAAATGTATGAGAATGAAAAAGAAAGGGTCTAAATGAAAAAGAAAATGAAATGTGCAATGAATGAAAGGATTTGAAGACCTTTTTTTTCTCCTTCAAGTTTCCAATACAATTATATGATGCTAAATGCTAAAACTATGCAATACTAACTAAAATGCAAATGAATGAAAAATCAAGATATTTAGTTATATTTTTGAAAAATTTTCTATGCAAATGAAAGAAGTGCTATGAAAAAACAAAAACAAATGCAAAATACTAAAAAAAAACAGAGAGCAAAAACTAACAAAAATGAAAACTAAAAAGACTCAACAAATGAACCCCAATCAAGGTTACTTGACACTTAATTAGTCGGGAATCAATTTCTTGACTCCCAGTAACTGCGCTACTTGAAATAATGCCCTTAATTTGTCACTTTGGGGTTATTCCAAAAATTAACTAAATTAACGCAATATAGTGCATAATCTAGGTCGTATTCACTTTGAGGAGCTGAAAATGAAATTAAATCCTAGTAAATGAATGGAAGTAACCTAAACTATAAAAATGATTTTTGATTTGATAATTGCCAAGTAAATACTATGAACCAAATTGAAATTAAAATACTTTTTTATTTTTATATAAAAATGATTAAAATGAATAATGATGAAGTAAATGAAAATGACACACGTGAGTAAACAATGATAATAATCAATCCTTCAATTCAACAACGCAGGCAATCATCACTCCAAAAGATGCAAAAGTTAAAACAATGAACTAAGAATTATAATTAAGCTTTTAATCTAACAACCGAGCTACTTTGAATTGCCATAAAATATTTTTCAAAATCCTAAATTACTAACTACAACCATAATAGTAAAATGGGATTAATGGTGCTAAAAACCAATGCTTAATTAGAACTCTTAAATCCAAAATAATAGAATTAAAACTAGCAAAAGATAATATGATCCAAGATTTCAAACTATATTAACTTCAAAATCAATGCAAATGTCATAACTACAATATTACAATTGAAATTAAAGCTATAAACAACCTAATCTCAAATACTAAACAGTAATCTAGCCACAATAATCTCCAAATATAATCAGATTAAACAATACAAATTTTTTAATAATCAGAATAACTATCCAAAGAACTAGGAATTATTAAACAACTATTGGACAGGAAATTAAAGTAACTAAAACTCCCCTTTGATGATCTGAACTCTTGCCGTTGTTGTTGAATTAGAGAATTACAGAGTCCTAGCCACGGTTTGCCATATACAATGCCATGATCAATATTCTGCTATAGGATGCCATGGAAGAACATTATTCATGCTAGTTCCCCTTCTGTCGTTGCTGCTCCAGCCATCACTTTGTTCTGTTCATGTTTTTTTTGTTTGCTAGCTGCCCTGTGGTTCTTATTCTGCCACAACATAGAGAAAAAGAAGATGCTCTATTCTATTGGACGCCTCCCTTCGTCGCTGGCCGTCCACTGCTCGTTGCTTCTGCTTGTTATCTCTTTGCCAACAGGAGATTCAGGGAAGAATAAGACCGGTGGAGAGTGGAGAGAACATTGAATTGTGATTGTTCTGTCAAGCTCTCTTCGTCTAGTCCTTAATTCGCTCAAGCTGAATCCTCTTCTACTATCCTCTGGTCCTGAACACCGGTCAAACACCCCCTGGTTGTGTCGCTAGTCTCTCAAAGATGATGGTGTTTTTAATAATTTAGGGCAGGTAGTAAAATGCACCATTTTACTACCAAACCCTATATTTTTCTATTTTTTTATTTCATATATTCCTTTCCCCTTTTTTTTGTTTTAAAATTTTTTTCCAATTCTTCAATGAACTTGCAACCAAAATTTAAGAATAAAGTAGCATTAATTAACCTTAAATATCAATCAATCACAATTATGATAATTTTACCCCTATTATGGACTAATTCAAGTTAAAGCACTCATATAAATCATACTCAAATAATGCAATTAAGAACCAATAATAATGACCAAAACCCACCAAAAATATATAAAAATGCAAGTAAAAACATAGGTTTGTCACATTCCTAAGCCTAAATATATAGACAATTGTTTAATCAACATTTTTAAGGTAACCATATACAGAGGCATCTCATTAGACAAAACATTCATATACTTACTCATGTTGTAATTTAAAATATAAAGCTCTTCGTAGAAATTTTTGGTAGAGCCTCGACTATAAATTAGACTTCCAAAAATTCTACAATAGCCTGCAAGTTTCAAACATTATTTAGAGCTCTGTTTCTTGGCACCAGTATATATATATAACTACATTCCAAAATAATCTGAAAGACGAGGACCTAACTATAGATTATGTGGAGCATCTAATTCTAAAAGTAAGAACATAAATGTACTTTTGTGTTTGTATTAGCTAACATTTACTAAAAATAAATTCATGAGTTCTAGATCTTCAATGAGGCTCTCCACTGCTCAGCTGGGGGTATAGGGTCAGTGGTGCTGTTTGAAGTCAACAAAAGAATCTACCGGTGAATAATGTCCCATTGATAATATTTACTAAAGTACTAACAAATGAATGCAATAAAATTACATTTAACCTTGAATGATTATATAGCAAAGAATTAAAATTTCTATAGCATACAATCTTAAATTAAAAGAAAAATATATACTCAAGCTTATTGAACAA